TTATTTTTTTCTTCCTTTCCTTTTTTATTTTTTTTCTTCCTTTCCTTTCTTTTTTTTTCTTCCTTTCCTTTTTTTTTTTTTTTTTCTTCCTTTCCTTTTCTTTTTTTTTTTTTTTTTTTTTTTTTTTTCCTTTTTTTTTTTTTCCTTCCTTTTCTTTTTTTTTTTTTTTTTTTCTTCCTTTCCTTTTTTTTTTTTTTTCCTTTTTTTTTTTTTCTTCCTTTCCTTTTTTCTTTTTTTTTTTTTTCTTCCTTTTCCTTTTCTTTTTTTTTTTTCTTTTTTTTTTTTCCTTCCTTTTTTTTTTTTTTCCTTCCTTTTCTTTTTTTTTTTTTTTTTTCTTCCTTTCTTTTTTTTGGGCTATCCCAGTCCTAGAGGACCATAAGGCCATGTGTGACTATCAGCTTTTACACTGAACCAAGACTTGTGTGCAGGAGAACTTGCTTTGCTGTGTGTAATGTGGCCTCTGGCTCTGCCCAATGTGTTTTGTTATAAATGACGTCATCGGGGCTCCTCATTTGACGTCATTTATAATGAAACTTGATGGGCGGAGTCGGTAGCCATGATATTGACGCACACACGTATCTTGAGGAATTCTGAGATGTGTAGTGTGGATACAACAAGAAAAAGAAGGCGCACCAACCTAGTGCAGTATCTTGAGGATCTTTATTGTAAAATAAGTAGTTTCTACTCACAAGCATAAGAGGAAAAGCACACTTCAAGCCACACATCCTTTGCTATGTGTAGTGTGGCCTCTGGCTCCGCTCAATGCGTTTCGTCATGACGTCATCAGGGCACCTCATTTGACATCATTTATAATGAAACGTGTTGGGCGGAGCTGGTGGCTGTGATGTCAATGTGCACCTCAAAGAATTCTGGGATGTGTGGTTTCTTACAAACTTTCATCTGCAACATCTTTGTGTTTCTAAGCAAAATATATGCTGGATTTACACTACTGGAGCGATCTTTTTGCCTTTCATTTATATATAGAGCGCATGGGTCCGGTTTGTGAAAATGAGAGATGAGCTCCTAGGAAGGTGTCCAGCCTGGTGGTGGCCGGTCTTTGGAGTCATACACAAGTGTTGTCGTACTTCTCATGCGAGAGTCAGTGTCTCTCTGGTGGGCTTCGGAGTGGGGGGGGGGGGGGAGCACTTGGGGTGATTACTTTGACTATAGACCACCAGCGGGCCGGCGCTGTAGCAGAACTCAAAAACCAAAAGGGGGCCTGACGTAGAATTGTGCTGTTTGGATTGGACTTCTGTGGCAAATACTAATGAGCACCAGCGGGGAGGCACTGACCCCACCAGGGCCCACAACGTTTTGTAAACGACTCTATAAAACCCACAATGGGAGGAGCAGCCCGGACTGGGACACAAAATAGGCCCGGCCATTTTGGACTGAGCAGCCCCAAGCCGGGGGACCCTTTCCTTGGAGTCCGGTGGTGGAACACCAAGGCCTGGTCGCAACAGTGACCTTTGCAACTCTGTAGTAGTTCCGCCACTAGTGTCAGTAGGTTTTTATTTTTTACAATTTTTATTTTTATTATTTATTTATTTATTTTTTTTTTTTTGAGGAGCCCTGTTGCGGGGGGGGGGGGGCTGGACTTTTGGTGAGAGGGTAAGAAAGGAAGCGGTGGGCTGACACAGGAGGAGGAGGGGCAGAATCGGCTTTCTCTTTCTTCTCCCGTCCCTGGTGGGGGGGACTGTCCGCACTGGGGACAGTCTGCCCTGACAGAAATTGCTGGCAGTGCTGCGGGGGTAGGGGAGCATGCAGGAGCCCACTGCTGCAGAAGATGGACGGGGGGGGGGGACTTTGGGTGAGAGGGTAAGAAAGGAAGGAGTGGGTTGACACAGGAGGAGGAGGGGCAGAATCGGCTTTCTCTTTCTTCTCCCGTCCCTGGTGGGGGGGCAGAAGATGGATGGGGGGGGGGGGGTGGCACATAGAGAAAGAAGACCGTGCATTTCTCACCTGCCACCACTGAGCGTCTGCAGGAGGGAGAAGTGGGCACTCTGGTGGCAGGTGAGAAATGCACGGTCCGGTTTCTCTGTGCTGTCCCTCCTATCCAGGCGGTTCCGGCCCACCGGGCAAATGCCAGGTGTGCCCTATGAACAGTCCAGGCCTGGTAAGGAGTATATGGAAGTCGCAGAATATGGCTGGGTGTGTGACCTTAGGTCTGGTCCAGGGCCATGATATTCTAGTCCTGGCGGATGTGTACAATTGCCTCCATGCAGGAGATAACAAAACCTATAGAAGTGCGGGTGTGTTTTTTGTGCTGGGACTGAGTTCCTCCTGTCTGGGCGGAGAACCAAGTCCCAGCCAGTGATTACTTGCCAGCGCTCGGTGTTTTTTAAAATTTTTTTTTTTTTTTTTTTAGGGTAGTGCTGTATATTGTGACACAGCAGGAGCTCATGCAGATCCATATGGTCCACTTACCAGCTGGCTGAGCAGAACAAATCCTCCCCGAAGGTACAAGTGTGCAGATGTGGATCGCTGGGATCTGTTCGGCGTTTAGCTGCAGTGTGAACAAGGTCGCCGTTTTTGTGTCATTTCACGATCTATCCTCAGGTCCTGACAGGCGCAGGGACATGCCGCCATGACACCTCTCCACTTGGCAGCGGATCCCGACACCCAACAAGACTCCCATTCCTATCACAAGTACTTTTCTCCACTTAGTCCACTAAAGGCAGTCATGCAGGGTTGCTGTAGATCTGTATTGCCACCTAGTGACAATTTCTGTAATTGCAGATGTCCCCCCCCCCCCCCCCCCCCCCCCCCCCCTGCCTGGTTGTCCCAATTGGAAGATTTCCCCTCTTTTCCTGTCCTGGTGACAACTCACTTTGCTAAGATAACATTTTAGCAAAAAAATATATATATATCTATAAATTATATCTCAAAACATTTTAGTTAACAAAGTTCACAATGGATTATTTAGAAAACATTTATACATGATTAGGAGGTACAAGTACTAAATGTCCTCTTATCAAGGGGTGCAGTCACTGAATTCAGGGGGGTTTGTCCTAAAGAAGATGCTCTCCATGCCCTCCAAATGTTGCTCTGGATTGGGATTTCCACTACGCTACTATAAAGATGTCACTTTGATTCATGAAGAAGGTGATGTCCTCGTGTCGTCTTCTGACTCCGTTCTGTACAATGCTACAGCAGCCGGCCAGGTCATGCTAAGCCCAGTATGGGCCTCCAGAACAACCATTCTCAACCAGAGATCTGTGGAAGCCGAGGGTTTCTCCAGAGGTTATTAGGGGTTCTTTGAGCCGTGGCTGAATGACCTCCCATCTGATGGTATCTGCATAATTTGGGGGCCAACATCACTTGGCAGAACCAGAACGTTGGCACCAATGTTGTTTTTGATCAGCTGTTCCCAATATGAGGTCCAAGGAACCCTAGAGTTCCTCCAGAGGTACCTGTGGCTGACTGACCTATCTGATGGTGCCTGCCTAATTTTGGGGCCAGCATCACTTGGCAGAACCAGAACGTTGGCACCAATGTTGTTTTTGATCAGCCAGAGTTTCCTCCAGAGATTGTTATGGATACCTTGAGCAGTGGGTGATTGACCGCCCATCTAAAGGTGCCTGCATGGTCCTTGGGCCAGCATCACTCAGCTGAACCAGAAACATGGCACCAATGGTCTTTCTGGTCAGCCGTTCCCAATATGAGGTCCAAGGAACCCTAGGGTTCCTCCAGAGGTAACTGTGGCTGACCTATCTGATGGTGCCTGCATAGTTCTGGGACCAGCATCATTTGGCAGAACCAGCAGCATGTCACCAATGATCTTTTTGGTCACCCAACCTCAACCAGAGTTCCAAGGAATCCTAGGGCTAGTTCAGAGGTTGTTATGGGTACCTTGAGCAGTGGCTTATTGACTTCCCATCTGATGGTGCCTACATGGTCTTTGGCCAGCAAAAATTACACCAGTGTTCTTTCTGCTCAGCCATTCACAATATAAGTTCCACGGAACACTAGGGTTCCTCCAGAGGTTATTAGGGGTTCTTTACACTGTGGCTTACTGACCTCCCATCTAATGGTGCCTGCATAATTCCAGGGCCAACTTCACTTGGCAGAGCTGGCAGCATGGCACCAGTGTTCTTTTTTTTTTTATCTGTCATTCTCAACCAGAGTTCAAAAAGGAACCCAAGGTTAGATCAGAGGTTGTGAGGGATACCTTTAGCAATGGCTGATTGACTTCCCATCTGATGGTGCTTACATAGTCCTTGAGCCAGCACAACTTGGCAGAACCAGAAACAGCAGCGGTGCTCTTTCTGATCAGCCATTCCCAATATGAGTTCCAATGAACCCTAGGGTTCCTCCAGAGGTTACCAGGGGTTCCTTAAGCTGTGGCTGACTGACCTCCCATCTGATGGTACCTGCATAGTTCTGGGGCCAACATCATTTGGCAGAACCAGAAAGATGGCACCAATGATCTTTTTGATCAGCCATCCTCAACCAGTTCCAAGGAACCCTCCTAGGGTTTCTCCAGAGGTTGTTATGAGAACATTGAGTAGTGTCTGATTGCCCTCCCATCTAAAGGTGCCTACATAGTCCCTGGACCAGCAGCACGAAGCAGAAACAGAAATATAACACCAATGTTCTTTCTGATCAGCCATTTCCAATATGAGTTCCAATGAACCCTCCTGGGGTTCCTCCAGAGGTTACTTTAGTTCTTTGAACTGTGGCTAACTAATCTCCCAATTTGATGGTGCCTGCACAGTTCCTGTCTGTAAGGGCGATAATGTGACCCCCAATGTAAGGGACACTCTTCCCACTGACCCCCAATGTAAGGGACATTCTTCCCACTGACCACCAATGTAAGGGACATTCTTCCCACTGACCCCCCCCCCAATGTAAGGGACATTCTTCCCACTGACCCCCAATGTAAGGGACATTCTTCCCACTGACCCCCAATGTAAGGGACATTCTTCCCACTGACCCCCAATGTAAGGAGTATTCTTCCCACTGACCCCCAATGTAAGGGACATTCTTCCCACTGACCCCCAATGTAAGGGACATTCTTCCCACTGACCCCCAATGTAAGGGACATTCTTCCCACTGATCACCAATGTAAGGGACATTCTTCCCACTGACCACCAATGTAAGGGACATTCTTCCCACTGACCCCCAATGTAAGGGACATTCTTCCCACTGATCACCAATGTAAGGGACATTCTTCCCACTGACCCCCAATGTAAGGGACATTCTTCCCACTGATCACCAATGTAAGGGACATTCTTCCCACTGATCCCCAATGTAAGGGACATTCTTCCCACTGATCCCCAATGTAAGGGACATTCTTCCCACTGACCCCCAATGTAAGGGACATTCTTCCCACTGACCCCCAATGTAAGGGACATTCTTCCCACTGACCCCCAATGTAAGGAGTATTCTTCCCACTGACCCCCAATGTAAGGGACATTCTTCCCACTGACCCCCAATGTAAGGGACATTCTTCCCACTGACCCCCAATGTAAGGGACATTCTTCCCACTGACCCCCAATGTAAGGGACATTCTTCCCACTGACCCCCAATGTAAGGGGCATTCTTCCCACTGATCACCAATGTAAGGGACATTCTTCCCACTGATCACCAATGTAAGGGACATTCTTCCCACTGACCCCCAATGTAAGGGACATTCTTCCCACTGATCACCAATGTAAGGGACATTCTTCCCACTGACCCCCAATGTAAGGGACATTCTTCCCACTGACCCCCAATGTAAGGGTCTTTCTTCCCACTGACCCCCAATAATTTTCTTCTAGCAGGGGTTCCCCGAGACCTAATTCTTTCACGGGTTCCCCAACCATGGAGATGCTGACCTAGAAGGTCCAAGCTCTGTCTTTGTCATGTATGGAAATCCAATAATATAACATTAGTGTATGGAAATATAATGTCTAATCAGGACGATCATTTTATACAAATCGGTGAAATCTGATTCTGTCCGGAGGAAACTGAGCTTAAATGTACAAAACCTGCTGTGGAAAATCGATCCAATAAAGACCATCGAAGGGAAATCTCTCGTGGCTCCAACCACTCCCAGATCCAGGAAGCCATCGAGATAGAAGCTGCATATTCCGATTTCTAGATTGTTTCATCAAACTTCCTGGTGGCATTCAGATTCACAAGTGAGATGCCAAGTTCAAGTTCATGCGTGTCAATATTGTCATGTGTGTGGATATATATATATATATACACACATCAGGTCCTCAGGAGAGGAAGCTCAGGCTTGGCCAGAAGCTGCGTTTGAACCGGGACCTCGCCACTCGGTGAAACTGAAGAAGGTGCTCCCGCCGTAGGCAATCATCACCAGGCAGGCAAAGAACTGTAAGACAAAGGTAAGACGTCATCAGGGGTTAGGTCATAGGTACGGTTCACCAACTGTCCCCACAACGAGCATGTGCAGAGCAGGAGGCGGGACTTGTCAGGACTGTAAAATGTAAATATTGGGTCGGTGCAGAACCTGCAAAGGATTCCAAAGTCACTTTGGGTTGTGGCTGAGAGAGGTAAATCTATAAAGCGCCACAATGTATTTTTTGGGTCCAAAAAGAAAGATTTATTGAAAGCACAAAATGTATATAAATGCCGATACGTTTCAGGAGCTAAACTCCGCCCCTTTTATCAGAGCTTGACGAAGCTGCTGGCCATTCCCCCTAAACGTGTTGGGTCTTATTTACAAGCCCAGATGAAGGAGTGGAGTGTAACCCCTGGACAAGGGGCGGACTGACCATTTGGAAACTCAGGCACTGCCCGAGGGCCCGGGGTCAGTAGGGGGCCCCATGAGTGGTCAGTCCGCCCCTGCCCTGGACTGTATTGGCTTTTATATGTAAACCCTGATAAAGAGGCGGAGTGTAGCTCCTGAAACATGTTGGCTTCTGTATACACGCCTTGTTAGTGGGTGGAGTTTAGCCCCCGAAACGTGAGCTTTTTCATATCAACCCTGAAAAACGGGTGGAGTTTAGCTCCTGAAAAGTGTTGATTTTTGTATACAAAGGGGTGGAGTTTAGCCCCTGAAAGTGTTGACTTTTGTATGAAAAGGGGTGGAGTTTAGCCCCTGAAAGTGTTGGCTTTTGTATAAAAAGGGGTGGAGTTTAGCCCCTGAAAAATGTTGGCTTTTATATACAAGGGGTGGAGTTTATCCCCTAAAATGTGATGATTTTTGTATTCAAAGGGGTGGAGTTTAGCCCCTGAAAGTGTTGACTTTTGTATACAAAGGGGTGGAGTTCATCTCTAAAAAGTGTTACCTTTTGTATACAAAGGGGTGGAGTTTAGTCCGCAAAAAGTGTTGCCCTTTGTATACAAAGGGGTGGAGTTTAGCCCCAGGTTGGCTTTTATAGATGTGTGAACCTATCCTTGAGGTTATCGATAATCAGGGCTGCCATTAGAAATTACGGGGCCCTTAGAGCCTGGGTGAGAGCATTGGGGCCCCACCCCAAAAGGGCTTTCTCGAGCATGGACAGCAATCCCATGGGCCGTGGCTCCCAGCCAATCAGTAAACGTTCCCCGGGCCCCATCAGTTCAGCAGCAGGGGGCGGGGATAGAGAAGCGACTATTCATTAACAGGATTGGACGGAGTCATCCTTCGTGCTGCAGCTCCTCATAGGAGGACCCGGGGGAGTTTTATTAAATCTTTGGGGGCCACAGCACCCAAAAGGTATGTCAAAAAAATCCTCTCTATGCCCCGGGGTCCCTGTTGAACTGATGGGGCCCGGGGACTTTTGTTAAATCTCTAGGGGCCACAGCACCCAAAAGGTATATACAATAATCCCCTCTATGGCCCTGGGCCCCTGTTGAACTGATGGGGCCCAGGCTCGGTACAGGAGGGCCAACTCCACCCCCTATTGGCGGCCCCGTTCTGATATCTATATCCCGCTGGCCCCACCTCTCTTCTCACTCACCGAAGCGGCTGCTCTCTTGTTGTAGTCGCTGTTGTTCATTCCCACCCTCGTGGAGGCGGCGCAGGTGATGAACGCCGTCACATACAGGACGGTGGCTGCGGCATGATAGATGAACAGCTGCAGGAGGAGAACGGCAAGGAGGTAAAGCATTCCGCTACATCCAACGGTCATGTGACAAAAACCCAGCCACACCCCCGAGGATTTAAAATTCTGCTTCCGTGTGCGTCAGATCTTTGACAGCCAATAATATGTGAATGAGGAACAAAAAGAGAAACCTCTCCCATGATGCCTCCGGGGTGTCCCCTTCTGCTCTGTGTTGTCACCCATTATTAGATGTGGCGGCTGCATTCGTTTTCTTTGTTTTTCATTCATTTTCTTCTCTGTTCACCTGGTGATCTGGCCACACCTCCTGTATTAGAGCGGCCCCCCCCCCCCCACTCTGGAGGAAGGAGCACAGGGGGGCACCTTTGGACAGCAGCATTGTCAGTCTGGGGGGAGGGGTGTGTTAGATGGACTAGCAGACTTAGATACACTAACACATGGAAGCCGAACCCCAATGTTATAATCCGTTAGTTTTGATAAAGTTTTTATATCCGTCAATAAAAGCTGATCCTTGTGAGCCCCCCTGTCAGTGGCCAATGGTGTGCCTCAACAAAGGCTTGTTCTGATGAAAAACAACAGACTTTCTGGCCGGATCACCAGGCGAAAATAAAGGAAAGGAAGCCTAAAAAAGAAAACAAATGCAGCCGCCACATCTGAGAATGATGACGGTCATCAGGACAGGGCGAGTCGCCCCATTGAGGCCACGCTGCTACTTGGGGGGTCGATGTACAAAACACTCATTGGACACATCTCTAGGGTTAGGCCCCCCCCAGGTGGGCGGGGGAAACGCCTCAGAGGCGGAGCTCAAGGCTGAGGGCCATTCGTATTTCTTTTCCAGCTAGCGCTTTGCGGCGTCTCTCGTCATTCATTGGATGTGAAGGCTGCGCCCGTAATTCCTGCAATAGATTCATTCCCAGGATCATCAGCTCCATCTAGTGGCCAGAATGTGGGATGGTTTTCTGAACGACCTCCAGGAGAGGCTATGCTGCACTTTGGCCACTAGATGGCGACGGATGATCCCAGGAATTAATCTATTACCCTGGGGTCACACCTATGCGTTTTCCTCTGCGCTTTGCAGAAACGCACAGCAGTCCATGTCACATGATTTCCTATGGGACGGGTTCACATCTCGCCGTTTTCACCTCGCTGCATTTTTTGGAAAGGGGCGCGGACTTTTTTGAACGCAAAAAGTTGCATTTTTGGTTCTATAGACTGGAAACTCTGCAGAGAAGACTTCATGAAGTGCGTTTTTGCCGTGTTTGATGCGTTTTGCTTTTTTTTAAAAAAATTTAAATTGTTCTTGTTGCTAGGCAGATGTTAAAAGCAAAACGCATCAAACGCGGCAAAAAACGCACTACATGCTTCTCTGCAGAGTTTCCAGTCTATAGAACCAAAAATGCTACTTTTTGCGTTCAAAAAAGTCCCCGCCCCTTTCCAAAAAATGCATGTTTGCTGCTTTTTTATGCGTTTTTGATGCATTTAAAATCTGCCTAGCAACAAGTAAAAATTAGGGAAAAAAAAAAAGCAAAACGCATCAAAAACTCCCTCCATGCTTTTCTGCAGCGTTTCCAGTCTATAGAACCAAAAACGCAGTGTTTTGCATTTGAAAAAGTCGTCGACCCTTTTTTCATTTTTCTTGTTGCTAGGCAGATTTTAAACACATCAAAAACGCAACGCAAAAACGCCTCAAACGCCACCTGCACACGTGTGAACCGAGCCTGACCCCGGGGTCGCACCTCTGCGTTTTCCAGAAACGCACAGCGGTCCATCTCACATGATTTCCTATGGGATGGGTTCACATTTGAGCGTTTTCACCCCGGTGCATTTTTTTTTTTGGAAAGGGGCGGGGACTTTTTTTAATGCAAAAAGTTGGGGTTTTGGTTGTATAGGAAAAATAAAAGTATAAAGCAGTGCAGCACTCAAAGCAAAGTGAAATATCTGATATCAGATTGCATGTAATATATATTAAGGTGGCCCACACAGCCGCACCACTTATATACAATAATGGGCTGGTGGTGACATCATCTCACACAACGTATTCATGAACTAAAGTGACTACAAATGTAATGCAGTGAATGGTGTCCATGTGCATAAGATATCATGCGGGTGTGAACTGTAGGTGCCAATCCTCAAATAGGTGAAGTGCCCCCTCACCTTCCTGCCCAGGCCCCTAGGGACCAATGAGCCTTTTGGTATATGGTGGGTCTTGGATAGATCCTTCAGATGGTGGGTCCCTCGGGAAGTAATGGTGGGACTCTCCTCCTCTTATCTCCTATATCAGAGCGTTGATGGTATCGAAGGTACCCCTCCCACACGGTCATCAATCAGGAAAAAGAACTTGCATAGTGTAAAATCGCTTTATTGAATGAGTACTAAAACCAAAGATCTACTCTCACATTTATTCATAAAAAAACGAGCCTTCACACCACTCAAAGGGTGTACTGCATTCAGGAACTGGGAGCACCAAGATGGCGCCCGCGCCGGATATGACCTCAGAGCGTTCGTGTAAGCTCCTCCCACTGGCGTATCTACGCGTTACGTCACTTCAAACACGTGACTTCATCAGGATTTACGCCTATCCTGGGTGGAGCACTATTTATTAATGTGCGGACATAGTACAGGGGATGACCAGAGACTGCGGACACAGTACAGGGGATGACCAGAGACTGCGGACATAGTACAGGAGATGACCAGAGACTGCGGACAGTACAGGAGATGACCAGAGACTGCAGACATAGTACAGGAGATGTCAGACTGCGGACACAGTACAGGAGATGACCAGGGACTGCGGACACAGTACAGGAGATGACCAGAGACTGCGGACAGTACAGAGATGACTGCTGACCTTTGGGGAGGGGGGGGGGTACCCGCTCTTACTTCCGCAGAGTTTTTTTTTTTAATCTTACCTGTTCCTCTATTCAGCGGCGCGCTGTCTTCCCGGCTTCTGTAATGTCGGCGCTCGTCGGACAGCCGGGATGCCCAGTGCGCATGCGCGAGAAGCGCTGCGCTTTGTGATTGGTCCGGCGGCTTCTGGGATCTGTCATGTGTCCCAGGTACCGCCTTACCATTCACAAAGAGCACTGCTTCTTGCGCATGCGCACTTGGGACCCGGCTGTCACGCACACTACAGCCGGGAAACGGGAAGCGCGCCGCTGGATTCTCTTGGCGTGCCCACAGATAAGGCTCGGCGTGCCACGGGTTCGCCATCACTGCACTATAGTGACTACAAACATAATGCAGTGAATGGTGTCCATGTGCATAAGATATCATGCGGGTGTGAACTGTAGGTGCCAATCCTCAAATAGGTGAAGTGTCCCCTCACCTTCCTGCCCAGGCCCCTAGGGACCAATGAGCTTTTGGTATATGGTGGGTCTTGGATAGATCCTTCAGATGGTGGGTCCCTCGGGAAGTAATGGTGGGACTCTCCTCCTCTTATCTCCTATATCAGAGCGTTGATGGTATCGAAGGTACCCCTCCCACACGGTCATCAATCAGGAGAAAGAACTTGCATAGTGTAAAATCGCTTTATTGAAATGAGTACTAAAACCAAAGATCTACTCTCACATTTATTCATAAAAAAACGAGCCTTCACACCACTCAAAGGGTGTACTGCATTCAGGAACTGGGAGCACCAAGATGGCGCCCCCCGCGCCGGATATGACCTCAGAGCGTTCGTGTAAGCTCCTCCCACTGGCGTATCTACGCGTTACGTCACTTCAAACACGTGACTTCATCAGGATTTACGCCTATCCTGGGTGGAGCACTATTTATCTAATGTGCGGACATAGTGTACAGGGATGACCAGAGACTGCGGACACAGTACAGGGATGACCAGAGACTGCGGACATAGTACAGGAGATGACCAGAGACTGCGGACATACAGGAGATGACCAGAGACTGCAGACATAGTACAGGAGATGTCCAGAGACTGCGGACACAGTACAGGAGATGACCAGGGTGACTGACTGGACACAGTACAGGAGATGAACCAGGGCTTTGGTGGGTTGGGGTTATGGGTTTGGTTCTGGTTTTTTTGGTTTGTTGGGGGGGGAGACTGCGGACAGTACAGAGATGACTGCTGACCTTTGGGGAGGGGGGGGGGTACCCGCTCTTACTTCCGCAGAGTTTTTTTTTTAAATCTTACCTGTTCCTCTATTCAGCGGCCGCGCTGTCTTCCCGCTTCTGTAATGTCGGCGCTCGTCGGACAGCCGGATGCCCAGTGCGCATGCGCGAGAAGCGCTGCGCTTTGTGATTGGTCCGGCGGCTTCTGGGATCTGTCATGTGTCCCAGGTACCGCCTTACCATTCACAGAAAGAGCACTGCTTCTTGCGCATGCGCACTTGGGACCCGGCTGTCACGCACACTACAGCCGGGAAGACAGCGCGCCGCTGGATTCTCTTGGCGTGCCCACAGATAAGGCTCGGCGTGCCACGGGTTCGCCATCACTGCACTATAGTGACTACAAACATAATGCAGTGAATGGTGTCCATGTGCATAAGATATCATGCGGGTGTGAACTGTAGGTGCCAATCCTCAAATAGGTGAAGTGTCCCCCTCACCTTCCTGCCCAGGCCCCTAGGGACCAATGAGCCTTTTGGTATATGGTGGGTCTTGGATAGATCCTTCAGATGGTGGGTCCCTCGGGAAGTAAATGGTGGGACTCTCCTCCTCTTATCTCCTATATCAGAGCGTTGATGGTATCGAAGGTACCCCTCCCACACGGTCATCAATCAGGAGAAAGAACTTGCATAGTGTAAAATCGCTTTATTGAATGAGTACTAAAACCAAAGATCTACTCTCACATTTATTCATAAAAAAACGAGCCTTCACACCACTCAAAGGGTGTACTGCATTCAGGAACTGGGAGCACCAAGATGGCGCCCCAAATAAGTAGATGTCCGCCGCCGGATTATGACCTCGGAGCGTTCGTGTAAGCTCCTCCCACTGGCGTATCTACGCGTTACGTCACTTCAAACACGTGACTTCATCAGGATTTACGCCTATCCTGGGTGGAGCACTATTTATCTAATGTGTTAGCCAATCAATAATTCCGATGGGCGGAACTCGGCCGCCATTGTATTGGAGCTCACCAGGCACCCTCAGCCATCGTAATATTATGGCTGCAAGAACGAGGACATTGAATATAAGCGGATAGTAGCGATCACGCTTAGGTATATATATATAAATCCTCATAACTGGGTGTATATTTATAAAAATAATGGCTAATATGGACCTTGTGTGAGACTAGAAGCCTGCATGTAATAAAAATATAATAATAAAAATTAAATAAAAATAATATAAATCAGCATCATCAGCTGATTAGGTCTGTAATATCAAAAAGCCCACCACAGTCACTTATATAGAACTATAGTGGAAATATATATATAAGGTATAAGTCCCCTAATCAGGAGAGTAACCCACTATAATTATAAAACATGTACCTGCATAATTCTGTGAGTTATAAGAAGGACCCGAAAAAAACCTAAAGTACAGAAGACCGTCATCATGGGATTTCTTATACAGTATCCTAAGGACGTAACCATCATATGAAGGGATCATATCACATACATGAAATTGGTGGCTAAGCTAAAACATTACATGAGTGAAATGTCAGAACATCTAGCTCAGTGGTTCTTAACCTGGGTTCGATGGAACCCCCAGGGGTTCGGTGAGTCAGTCTCGCGGGTTCGGCGGAGGTGAAGACCCACACCTGACTCATATGATTCGTGCAGTAAATATTCATTATTATGTTTTTGTTTTTTCTGTGAAAATCATGTTTTATAGTTTTGTTCATTTTGTGCACCTATGTATAAATATATACCTATGTTTTGAATTTGAAAAATCATATTTTATTTTTCCAATTAAGAAGGGTTCTGGTGAATGCGCATATGAAACTGGTGGGGTTCAGTACCCCCAACAAGGTTAAGAACCCGCTGCTGATGATCTGCTACCTATTGTTCTGGACTATAATATACACCATAAAAAGATTGAGAAGATTTTTTTGTGAAATACTGGCCGATTTTGCAATCTGATCCAGCTCTGATGAAGGTTATACCTGCCAAACCAAAATTTATATATCATAAATTTTGGCTCAACCTCTCCAAAACCGAGCTTCTCGTCCGCTTCCCCCCAGCCCGCGCCCCCCCCCCCCCATCCTTCCCTATCCATCACTACTAACAACACCACCATCAATCCCGCCCGCAAGCCAAGGTCCTTGGAGTCATTCTGGACTGCTAACCTCTCCTTCCCAACCTCATGTCAAATCACTCACAAATACATGCAGACTCCACCTCCGCAACATCGCCAAAATACGCTCCTTCCTTACCCCCAGACACCGCTAAACTACTCGTACACACTCCCTGATTATCTCACGCCAGCCTTGACTACTGCAAACTCCCTCCTCAACCGGCCTACCCCAGTGCAGGCTCTCCCGACCCCGCTTCAGACCATCCTGAACTCAGCGGCTAGACTCATCCACCTCACCAGCCGCTCCACCTCTGCCACCCCCCTCTGCCTCTCCTCCACTGGCTCCCCATTGCCCAACGCATCAAATTCAAACTATTCACTCTGACCTACAAAGCCATTCACAACACTGCCCCTAACTACCTCACCGACCTGATTCCCAAGTACCCACCCTACCCGTACCCTTTCGCTCTTCACAGGACCTCCTTCTATCTTGCTCCCCTGGTCTCCTCCTCCCACGCACAACTGCAAGACTTCTCCAGGTCCTCCCCCATCCTCTGGAAACTCACTACCCCAAATCCATCAGACTGTCACCTTCCCTCCTCACCTTCAGGTGCTCCCTGAAAAAACCCACCTCTTTCAGGGAAGCCTACCCCACCCTCGCCTAACTGCTGCTCTCCTTCATTCCTCCCACCACTCCATCCCCACCACAGCCACTTCCTCCTGTACCACTACCCCCTCCCTCCTAGATTGTAAGCTCGAAAGAGTAGGACCCTCTAACCCCTCGTGTGCTGCTTGTAGGTGCTGTAATGCTTTCATGTATTGTCCCCCCCCCCTCTATTGTACAGCGCTGAGCAAACCCTTTGGCGCTATATAAAACTCCATGTAATAATAATAATAATAATATATATAAGAAAGGCTCCAAATATTAGAACTTGTCTAGTAAAGAATGTGATTGACCCACCCGGACTAACCTGAGAACCACTATTATTGACCTAAAAGGTTTCTACCCCTGCAAAACCTGTTATGCGTGTAAGGAGACAAAGGGATTAAATGTAAGAAGGAAACAATTTCAGGCAACAACAGGAATAACAATATACTATTAAAGATTTCATATCCTGCCAGACGGCGGGTGTAGTATATGGGCTCCAATGTGAGTGTGGACTTCAATATATCAGAACAAAGAGGCCTATGTGGAAAAGGATCAGGGAGCATGTGCAGAACATCAAAAAAGGGTCACACTAAACACAGTGTCTCCAAACATTTCGCCAGTCATCATAATAGTGATCCCACAAAATTGAAATTCTGGGGAATAGAGAAATTTTAACCACTTCCCGACCCGGCCAGTTGCATATAAACGTTGTCCCGGACGGTGGCAGTGCAGGGTCGGGTGGCCGTTTATAAACGGCCCCTCCCGCACCCTGCTTGTGCGCGCGTCCCACGGAGCGCGCCTAGCATCCCGCGATCCGGTGCCCGCTGTGTCCTCCGGACACAGTGAAACACCGATCGTCCGTACGGGACCTCTGTACGAGGTCCCGATCAATGTAATCACTGATTGGCCAATCAGTGATCACATGCAAAAGTAGTAAAGCAAGATGTCACTTGTGACATCATTGCTTACTACTGTGTGAAATCTGTGAGAATGATCAGAGAGGTCACATGGTACAAAGGCTATTCACAACAGCCTTGTACCATGTGACAAGCTGGTGACCAATCACAGCTCACTCAGTACTTTCTCAAATGAGTGCAAGAATGCAGACAGAGAGAAAGAGAAATGATTGCTTTTACATACTATATGGGTGTAAAAGCAATCAGTGTAAAAAAAAAAAATCTTCATCACCCCCCGCAAGTAGTACAGTGTCACCATTGGTGTAACCACTGCTACTGCTAGGGGTGACACGTATTAGTAAAAAAAGTAAAGAAATAAGTGTATAATATAAAAAATAAAAGTAAAAATGTAAAAAACAAAAAATGTTTAAAAGTTATTAATTTTGTTGTGTTAAAAATGAATTTGGATTTTTTTTTTTACTTAAAAAGATAACGGAAGTACATTTTGCAAAGATATATGATGAACGAAATATTATGTTATTTTGCAGAGAATTTTAATAAATAAAGAAAAACACTTTTTTTCAGAAATTTTTTGGATTTTTTCATTTGTAATATAGCTCAAAAAAGAAATTTGTTTTTTGGTGTTTGTGTGTTTATTTGTATGGGATATGGTTATATCGTTAAAAATCCCAGTGCGTTGAATAGATTACCACCCCAAGAATAAAGCTTTATCCGTCTCAAAATGTAATGGTAAATAGTTGATTGGGTACTCAGTTGTTGCATAGATGGCTGCCGGCAATTGTCATTCAATAGTGTGATTGCGGTGGAAAGCTGTTTTATTAAATTGTTGCCATGGACGTTTTTGCAAGGGGTAAATGTGTCTTTTGATTGTCTGAAGGGGGTATGAAATGTCTGACCAGGTCCTGGAAAGGGGGGTTAAAAGTGTGCTATGTCCGGTCATGGGTTTTTGGACGGTAAAAAGTGTCTGGTCTGGTAGGGGATGTTAAAAGTGTAACGGTCTGGATTGAAGGGGGGTAAAAGTGTCCGGTCTGGAAAGGGGTTAATAATATTCTTTTTGGAGAGGTAAGTTAAATACGGTCAGAGTTATTAGCCAGGCAGAATGTTTTGAATGGATCTTCGCTGATGAGGTCTCAATACCCTGAGTCGTCGGTTTGAAGCTCGTAGATTTGATTTAAAGTTTCGCTTCGATATTGAGGAGGCAGCACTCTGCACGCTCTTGACGTTAAGCCACCGGTATCAGGTGGAGGGTCGGGTGAGCCATGGGTAAGTTTATTGATTCAACTGTCGTGCTGTGTTATTTGTAAGAGCTCATGGGTTTACCTACTTACTGTATGTAAGTACAATCGCTACGGAACCCTGTTGCTTTACTGTTTTTGTCTTAAACCCTCTTGTCGCCGATCGTATTATTATCACAGAATATGCGGTCCTCACGGACACTGGTTAGTTTTTTCTCGTGGGGCCGGCAAGTTATTTGCGTACCTGTCTTTGTGCTGGGAGCGCGACTTCGCTATGGCGCGCTCCTAGACACCCCAGGACCGCTGGTGTTCAACTGAGATTGCCCC